TGGGTGCAGGGAGGGCTCACCTTGATGGGTCCCTCACGAATGATCTGGCCCAGCTTGGCAATGTTGTCATACTCCTGGATGGCTGCCCGCAGGTACCGGTCATCGTCGGGCTTGACGGCTGCTGGCTCGCGCCCAAATGTTCCCTAGAGGGAGACGCCACCCAGGCAGAGAGGTGAAGCCGCTGCCCTCTCCACCCGGCCTCTCCACACTGCCAGCCACCCCCGCCCTGGCTCACGTGGGTGCGGGTGGGGCTGTTCCACAGGTCGGCGATCTCGCTCAGGTTCTCGGGCAGGTCATCCTCGTGCTCGGCCTGGGCCGCCAGCTCCAGGTTCCGGCAGAAGGGGTCTAGCCACACGGGGTTGGCTCTGCATTTGGGGAGCGGAGGGGGGTCAAGCAAGGAGAGCGCGCTAGACAGGTGCCCTCCCAGACGAACCTGCCCATCTCCCTGGTCTCTCAATGCCATGCCTTCACGGCGGCCCCTGCACCTGTGGGTGTTCCTCCCACCCTAGGATCCTGCTTGAGCCAGACTGACATCTGTCCCAGTCAGCTTTGGTGGGGAGAACTCACTCTTTACCCAGTTCCCAAAGTCTATGCCCCTATATCCTATGCAGGGTGGGGTGGGGCAGGGGCCATGGGACAGGAATCCAAACTCAGCCATGCAGTTGAGGGTGGAGAGACAGCGGTGATCAGCCCACCAGGGGGCGCCCACAGCCCAGGTTTCAGCCAGCACTTGGGAGGCTGCAGGGACTAGGTTCCCTTCCTGGTTCCCAGCAGGCTCAGAGGGCCCGGCCGACTCACCCATCGAAGGAGTACTTGTTGGTGTTGGGCATGTCCATGATGTCGATGAAGCCACGGTTCCCTGCAGGGAGAAGGGTTGGGGCTTGGAGGGGAGGTAGGCAGCCCACCAGCTGCGGCTGGGCAATCTGGACACCCAGAGGTCCTCTCCTGGCCCTACTCACCTGCAGAGCCAGCCACAATGGCCTTGAGCTTCCTCTTGTGTCTGGAGAGAAGCAGGAAGAAGTGCCCATGAGGGAGGCTGGACTCACCTGGAACCCACAGCCCCGCCTGCCGCCGGGCGCAGGAACACTCACACGGTCCTGTAGTACCAGTTCATGAGGATGAAGAGCATGGCGGCCAGGAAGAGGAGGATGGCCAGGACGATGATCGCCATCTGTGGGGGAGAACAGGCCAGGCCTGAGCCGTGGGCTCCGGGGCAGAGCTGGCCCCGGGAAGGACGGGGGCCCGTGGGGTACCTGCAGGGCAGACATGTCATCGGGCAGCCGGACAGAGATGGCAGGCTGCACGTCCAGGACGTTGTAATTCCGGAAGAGATTCCGAAGCTGTTCCTTGTTCTCATCAATCATCTGGATCACCCTGGACCAGGGTCAGGGGCCTTAGTCCCACCTCAGCCACCTCCAAGACCTTACCCCCCTCCCCACCCGCCGTCTCCTCCGCTCTGCCTGAGCCCCCGGAAGATGATCGCCCTGTGTGCACTGAAGCCTCGCAGGACAGAAGCCCCCTGCCTTGGAGCCGGGGTTCTCACAGGGTTCCTGGGACTTCCTAGGGGTTCTGTTGGGTCTTCACGATAGGCAGAGGCTCCCACCAGGCTCGGAAGGGAGCTCTGCGCACCCCCCAAGCTGAGTCCTTTTTCCTAGCCCTGCCCATGCCTGGGGGAGAGCCCACACAGCAGTCAGGTGTCTGTGTTTCAATGAGTCCCCTCCCAGTCCCCTCCCCGGGCCCCACCCACCGGTCCACGTCCAGGATGCGGTTGGTATCACGGTTCACCACGTGGATAAGCAGCTCTGTTTGCGCGAAGTTGACCCGGCCTTTCTTGTCCACGTGAAACTGGGGGAGAAGGAGCATTGCTGGGGGGACCCTGGCAGGACCAGGGAGGGGATAGGCAGGCTTCTTGCAGGAGACTTCCCTGCCCTACCTTACAGTGGACCTGTCACTAGAGTGCTCCCTGAGGACCAAGCTTGGTGCCAACCAGCCCACCGCACGGGGCAGGTGCCACGTATTAGCCCCGGGGGGGAGCAGGTAAGGCGGCAGGTACAGAGACCCAGGAGAACTCCCGAGCCTCCCAGTCACGCTGGGAAACGACTTGGGCAGCACACGCACCCCTTCTCGGGCTCCTGACCTGGCCACAATGCCCCGGTCCTTGTGACCTGTCCCCAGCCCCAAGGTGGGTCCCATGAGCCACCTGCACATCGTCGGTGTTGACGATGGCTCCAGTGATGTTGGCGAGCAGGCGGATGAACTCCTCCTCGAATCCGCGCACGCGGTCGGGGATCTCATTAATGACGATCTTGACGCGCTGGTCGTCCCTCAGGATGTAGATGCCGATGATGGCCGTGTCATTGTGGCCTGCCAGGTCTCGGGCCACAATGTCCACCACAAAGTAGCCCGGGCTGTAGGCCATGAAGAGGTCGAAGGTGCGCAGGATGCCGTCCACGCTCCCTGTGGAAAGCCGGGGGGCGGCACGGCTCAGGGGCCACCCAGTGCTCCCGAGCCCCCTAGGAAGGGTCAAGGGCCTGGAGACGCCCAGGGAGGCAGCTCGAGGGCTCAGCTGGGCAGTGAGCAATGCCCAGCTGAAGGGCCCTTGGCTCTGCTGAAGAGGTCATGCGGTGGGCACTCTTTCTAGAGAAACTGGGCATTTCCGCTCTCAATGTGAGATCCTTTTATTCTCAACTATTCCCCAAGTTTTTACTGAAATTCTCTACAGACTAAAACATCTGCCGTCAGGGTGCGGTGCGCATGCCTGTGATTCCAGTGGCTTGGGAGGCTGAGGCAGGAGGTTGGAGAGTTCAAAACCAGCCTCAGCAACTTAGTGAGGCCATGAGCAAATAAAACAAAAAAAAAAAGCGGGGGATGTGGCTCAGGGGTTCAGTGTCCTTGGGTTCAAACCAGGCACCAAAAAGGAAAAAAAAAGTTCAAGACACCTGCCGCCTGTGCGGGCCCCAAAATAACACGTGTGTGACTTTGACGATCCTTGCTGAGGTGCTGTGGCCACCTCATGTAACTGGAGGAGGTGGCGTGTGAACTAGACCTCGGAGGGTGGTGGGGAGGCACAGGTGAGGGCAGACATGGGTCAGGAGGCGTTCCAGGAAACGGCTCAAAGGCCCAGGGTAGACCGAAGGTTGGCTCAGGGGATGGTAAGCAGCTCAGCCTGGCTGGTCCCAGGGCCCTCAAGGACAGTAGGGGACTGCAGAGCCAGGAAGAGGCACTAGAAGATGATCTACCAATTCTGGGAGGCCAGGCCAAGGAATTTTCCTGGCATCCAGGTATGGCATCCAGATGAGTCTGCCAAGATGGGGGAAGGAAATGGGCCCACCCCTGGGGGCGCCTTCCAAACCCGCCCCAGAGTCTCCGCCGTCCACAGGCAAATGCACAAGAAAACACGCATATTCCCAAGTGTGGCCTCCGACTTCCATCTCCCCAGTACCTGGCCCGCGCCCCGACACGTGCGTTTCAGATGCACCAATGGAAAGCAGGAGGCAGGTCACAGGAATGGGAAGAGGACGGACAGACAGATGCAAGAATGGATGAGTGAATGATGGGCGGGACAAGCAGCAAGAGCGAGCAGGTGGGCAGACGCAGAGGTGAACAGGTGTGTGGATTAGGGGACAGAAGGGCTGACATGACCGGCCGGGGCTGCCCGTGTCCTCGGGTGGTCTCATGGGCCCCATTTCCCCAGACTCCAGTCCATGCAGTGACCGAGAGGTCGTGGCTGGAGGGCCACCCACGAGCACCCAGGCCCCTACCCATGGTGAAGACCTGACCCACGTCCTCCGAGTCGTTGGCGAGGGCCCGGAAGTAGTGGATGGCCAGGATGCCGTAGAAGACAAGGCTGTTGTTGCCGATGTCCGCGTCCAGGGCCAGCACCTGGATCAGCTCGGAGCCCACCTTGGCATCCGTGGCCACCCCTGTAAGGACCAGCAGGCGGCGTGAGTGTCAGGGAGGGGCCACCGGCGACCTCGGGCCCCGGCTCCGGCCCCTGCACCTGCAGTGTACTCAGCCTTGGTGAAACGCGGCGGCTGGTCGTCGATGTCCTCCAGCACCACGCGCACCTCCTGCAGGGAGAGGTCGGCCACCAGGTCGAGGGCCGGGGAGGCTCCGCGGGGAGGCGTCCAGCTGCGGTTGCTGGAGGCCTTGACGATAAAGGAGAAGACAGCCTCGCGCTCGCGGTCCAGGTCCCGCAGCACCAGCAGGCGCCCATCGGGCTGCAGACGGAAGTTCTTCTCCTCGTTGCCAGCTGAGGGTGCGACATGGCCAGGGTGAGGGTGCGAGGGCACTTTGGGGTCATCTCCAGCCCCAGGGGCGGCGGCACTGGCTGGTCAGGCCCCACCTGCTATGAAGTAGTACACGACAGCGTTGGGACCCTCGTCTGCGTCCACGGCGCCCGTCACGTTGCCCACAAGGGTGCCACGGGGCGAGTGCTCAGGCACCGTCAGCAGCTGGTACTGGGGGCGGCCTTTCTGCAGAGGGAGGAGGACGTCATCACAGGAGCCAAAGGGGACCTTCCAGCGCCAGCCAGAGGGCCCTGGGCAGTGACTGGGCACTGAGGGATCACGCGGCCCAGGCCTCACGGGATGAGTGGCACTGTGGTGAAGGAGCCCTGCTCTCGGGGAGCCATCCAGTGGCACCCTCCGTGAGGACAGTGCTGGGTAGGGCGTGTTCTCTGAAGCGTCCCTGGCACCTGAGTGAGTGAATCTGGGGGCAGGCACACACTCCTGGGCACTCACACAGGCTCCAGGGACACCTCATCTCCATGTGCACGTCATGGAGTCCACACCAGGGCCCTCAGCCCGGGTCCCTGCTCTCAGTCAGAGCTGATTTTCACACTTCCTGCTCACGCCGGGGCATGCACACACACGATATCAGCTCCAGGATCAGGCGCGTTTGCCTGACCTGTTTTCTGGGAATGGAACACTCCAGGCAAAACGCTACCTCCCCAGCCTTTTTTCATTTTTAACTTTGAGACAGGGTCTTGCTAAGTTGCTGAGGTTGGCCTCTAAGTTGTTATCCTCCTGCCCCAGCCTCCCAAGTCTCTGGGAATACAGGCGTGCTGCACCATGCCTGGCTCTTTGTCCACTTTGGACCTCTGGCTCGTGCCTTGAAGTGTAATAGCTCAATACAGCAACACAGCCGCTCAGGGCAGAGCCGTTCCTTTATCAAAAGCGTGCAGACAGACATTTTCTGTGTGTAGCCAAATGTGTGTCAGTGTGCACAGGGGAGTGTGTGTGCGACTGCCACGAGGGACAGGCAAGCTCACTGGAGGCCTCACGAAGAGGGGTTCGTTGTCATCAATGTCCTCCAGGGCCACTTGCAGCGGCTGCATGGTCTCATATGGCACCGGCTGGCCCAGGTCGCTGGCCACCAAGATGAGCTGGGGGCAGAGGAGCACAGTCAGAGGGGAAGGCTGGCGGAAGAGAGTGGCTTAGGACTCCCGGGTGCTGTCCCCAGACAGGTCCCCCCAAGTCACTGCAGCCGGAAAGTCTGCCGGGGCCCTGGCGTCTTACACTGTACACCGCCTGCTTCTCACGGTCCAGGCGCTGGGCTGTCTGGATGAGGCCACTGACCGGGTCGATGGAGAAGAACTCCCAGTCGCGGTTGCCCGCGGTCTTCAGGAAGCTGTAGCGCACCGCCCCGTTGAGGCCCTCGTCCTTGTCCGTGGCGTACACCTCGTACACGTTGGAGTGCAGCGGGATCTCCTGCGGGGCACGGGAGGAGGGGGGCGCCTAGATACGAGAACCCCAGCTCCCAGCCCCCTCAGAGCTCTGCTCTGATCCTGCCACAGCCAAAGGTCGTTGCCACCTCCCAGCGTCCTTGGGGCATGCCTGGTGGCTGGGATCTCTTGGATTCTAAGCATCCGACAGTTATTTCTCTGCCATCTCCCCAAGCCGAGGCCACTGTACCCTAGGTCTAGCCTGAGACCCAGCTGTTCCAAGCTTTTTGAGGTGACCACTGTCTAGGAGTTCCCATCCCCCGCCAGCCCACTGCCTGCCAAGGTTTAGGGGAATCCAAAGGCTTTGGCCATGGCCACTCTGTGTCCCTCGTCTCTCCTGCTCTCTGCGCTACCCTAATCACAGGAACTCTGGGTGTCCCCGAGAAGCAGCATCCATCCAGTGGGTTTCCTGGAAATGGAGGACATGCAGACGGGGTGACATGGCAGCTAGAGATCGGCCACCTGGCTGGAGCCTGCTGCCGATTCACTGTGGAACCTGGATTTCGTTGAGGTAGATTTCCTTGAGGTAGGTCTAGCTTAGCAAGAACCTAACTGAAAGCACACAGTGACCCACGGGAAGGCTGCCCACGGCCAGAGAAAAAGAGCGTTATCTCCTCGCTTTTAATGGAAGAATTCTCAACTCGGTAAGGTTTCATTGTTGATCTCAGTCATGACGATCAGAAGTTCCAAGTGGCAGTTACATCTAATTAATAAAAAGTGGGGTGACCAACAGATGATTACTTTATAAATGCCGGTCATTCAGGCTATTCAGGGGACGTAAGTCTTCCCAAATACACAGCCCTCGAAGGGAACAACTTAGTAAATAGGGTCTTTAGTGTGGAAAATAATAGATTATTAATTTATATCCTGAATTATTACACACACACACACACACACTTGAAGCAGCTGACAAGAATATATAAGATTGAACAAGTTAAAAATTTTAGGTTATAAAAGCTGGTCTGGGTGTGGTGGCTCACACCTGCAATCCCAGCTACTTGGGAGGCTGAGGCAGGAGGATCTCAAGTTTGAGACCAGCCTGAGCAACTTGGTGAGACACTGTCTCAAAAAAATTGAAAAGGGCTGGAGAGGTAGCTCAGTGTAGAGTGGGCCTGGTTCAACCCCTAGTGCCCCCCACCAAAAAAAAAAAAATTAGCAGGAAGAGGGAGCTGTGGTGAAGTGTGCCCAGCCTCTGTAGCGGCGGTGAGGTGGGCGATGACTTTGAGCTCCCCAGTGGGCAAAGCAATCACTGCAGATGTGATGCCAGAGACGATGTAAAAGCAAATCACAAGGTGACAGCACAGTTTCCTAGAACTCATCGCTGGGAATATTTTCTTCTGGGGAAGCTCAAAGAGGAGACGGCAACAGCATG